TGCATTTGGTCTGGATGATACATCTCTGCAGAGGCTCTGTGAAAGATCTGGGAAGACCGTAGAGGAATTGAAGAGTCTGATGAAGTCTCCTCTGCATCAAGGGATAAACCCAAGCTCAATATCAACCTTGCTGGGTGCTGTATCCCTTCTTACATCAGAAGATTCTATTGAATTTATTGTGAGCTTCATACCCATTATTGGCACTTTGGTGGCTTATCACCAATCTTATCTGACTGTCTCAAGAATGCTGAAGAGAGCTCTGAATGATATAGCTGATGATGCCAGGAATGTGCTGATGGCTTCATTGGAGACTGAAGTGTAATTGTAAAAAATGTAGGCTACATGTAAAAAATATACAACACTATTATAACTAACTGCTTTTTGGGTATTTGAAGACAAAAATGTGTTTATCACATTTAATGCGAAATATCTAATAGACTCTATCTAATATGATATAGATTTATGCTTTCATGTATTTACCAGCAATTAATTTTATCCAAAGCAACTTACATTTGTGGAAAAATACAAACGATTAAATGTTTAAGATTTGATGGAATAAGAATTGTAATGTTTGGAAAAATAACTTGCGTTACTGTTTGAGTTACTAAAATTTTGCATTTCTTTCCACTGTTTTATGCATTTCTTATAATAATAGTTTGGTTTTGGCCCTCTTTTCTTTCTAATTAAATTTACTTTTGGACAGATAACGCAGCATCACAGCCTCAGTTGCCATTGCTATTTGTGATACATTTCATAAAAATCCTCTATCACTTTTGGATGAGTGTTATTTTCAGTTCTTGTATTAATGTGCTGTATGGGGGAAATTTAAAATTTAATTTTGATTTGATATGCCAATTGAGGAAGTTTTGAGTCCAAGATAAGGGTCAGAGCAACATGTTGCGTTTACGTGCACTTAGGTAGTAAACTATCAAACTGCTGTCAAATTTGTGTAATGTTTAAGGTGTCACTTTTGACAGTTTTGAATTTTTTTTAATTACAGCTTCATCAGAATGTTACGAAACTTGGTGACTTTTATGGCATTTGGAATGTGAACACACAAAAGTTGAGGGCATGATTCGAGCAGACTAAAAATTGGTCGTAAAAAAAAAAAGTCACACTTGTGGTCTTCGGTCAAAAATGACCGACCATAGGAAATGAATGGGAAATCGACAAAAACACAAAAATTCTGAGAATTTTCAAAAATTCAACCTACAAATCTGACATAATGCAGAAAAAAGTACACAGCAATGACAGGTTGAAACTCTAAAACATCAAGAGTGCAAAACCAACACATCCACTCACACGCGTACGCACACACTTATATACACACACACACCTAAAAACTGGTGTGACTGTAACACAGCAAATATTTAAACTAAAAACAATAATTCGACTACAATGCAGTAAAAAAAGTGGACAGCAAGGAAGGGGTTACACTCTAAAACATCAAGAGTGCAAAACAGACACACAGTTATACAAAAAATAAAATCCTTTTATTTCGGTTCGTTCTTAGCAAAAAATATTTTTTCGTTCAGGTTCCAGAGCTAAATAAGAATGGAACAAGTGTTCGCTTTTTAAATAATTCTAATTATCTTTGCTAATATTATTGAAACTTCAAACTGCTAACACGCGCACACTAATTAAAAGGGCAGGACTCAAAGGAGACATATTATGCCCCTTTTTACAATATGTAATATAAGTCTCTGGTGTCCCCAGAATGTGTCAAAATACCCCACAGATCATTTATTATACCATTTTGAAAATGCCCATTTTGAGTGGAAGCAGAAACACGCTGTTTTTTGTGCCTGTCTTTTTAAATGCAAATGAGCTGCTGCTCCCCCCAGCGTTTGAGCTGCGCCATTACAGCTCGAACCTGTTAAAAAACATCTGTTTTGGTTCTGATTATCATGTTTATCGTGCTGAAATCATGCGTTTTAAACCATATTAGTTTAAACTTCTGATATACGGTTTTCTGAGTGCACACGTACAGAACGTGGCTGTCACAGCATGTGAGAACTAAACTAAGTTCTCATTCACACACAAGTTTACGTTACAAAAGTCTGTTATGTCCGTGAAGGTAAACAGCTGGGAAATAAATCGCATGTTCATTTTAGATCTGTGTGGTAGCAGCAATATACAGTAAATAAATCAATAATCCACTGCTTGTCTCCTCTGAGGCTGGGACTCTAAGTAGTGTTCTGTGCTCATCAGAGACAAAGACAGAACAGTTAGCATGTTTTACTCAAACTTTCGCTATGGCATTAGAACTGGTACACAGTTGTCGCTTGCAAAATCACAATGACGGCGCCGTGGGTGGAAACTTACAGATTAAGGGGCGGTATTATTATAATGAGATCCCTTTGCAACGTCACTAGGGGAGCGAAATCATTTTTTATAGTTAGTAACATCAGTAATATGATTGCAGTTATTTATTTATTTGAAGTGTTTACTGTAGTATAGTTGTATTTATGTATAAATAACAACATTATTTCTTCTTTTCAGAATATGAATACAGCAATATTTTATAGAAAGGCCAATAGGAAGAGTGCAGAGTTTGCTCTTCCATGTAATGAGAGTGAGGATGAGTTAGCCTTTAGTGAAGGTTAAATGATAGGGATGTACTTATTTTTGGTTTGCATGAGCTCCAAGTATATAAATCTATCAATTTCTAAAAGAACTGTTCATTTAAATAGAAAAGAAAATCATAATTTTATAGAAAAACTATTTTTTTCCATTTTCTATTGTGGTACAGCGTTGCCATATCGCAACGTTTCCATAAGTACCCATCCCTCCCCCTCCCCCAAAAAAATCTTTCTTCAAAAATCTGATTTGATTTGTATGATTGAAGCTATTTCAAGTAATAAAAACGTATTAGAAAAAATATTTTATGGTTAGAATATAGTGCATACCATAGAGGGTTACTATTATATTATATATATTATATTTCCTCTCAAAAACGTAAAACGTATGTTTAACGTGTTTTTTAAACATGCAGCAAATGAAACTAGGCAGTTAATTGGATAAAAATTCTTACTGTTGGTTAGCAAATTTACATTAGTATTCTTATGCTTAAACTTCTGGCTTCATTCTGGTGTTGTTTTTTCACAGACTTGATTGTAAATGTTTGTGTGTTTTTTTATGTAGGATAGATTCTAACAATTAATTAATGTTATTTGTGTGTTGTAGGCTACTTTACATATTTTTAGTAGCTATATACAGCAAAACTACAGCGCTTTCAGTAGGCTAATTATTTCTAAGGTTGATGTTTTCATTAGCTGTGCTGAGTGTGCAGTTGATTTCAGCTGCACGCAGCATCAGAGGCACGCTCTTTTATCGCTCCTAATGGTTTTACTGTACAATAAGAGTATAAAAGTTATATCAGTGGCAGTTATCAAATGACTTAAATTATGATATTTTGCTCAGATGGATGCTGGGGTTCTTATCTCATCAGCTTTCAACGTATATCATTTTGCTAACTACACACAGTGCGCGTTCTAACTAGAGTTAAGCCGGTCGGCATGGTAGCCAAGGCATACATAGTCATAGGCCACTATTGTTAAGTCAGTCGGCATGGTAGCCCAGGCACACATAGATAATAATATATGCGGTTCACTTGGCTCTTTGGAGCAGCAGCAGTACATATGTCATGGCGATATAGCTGCTTTTTGGGGTGTTGTTTTGTTCTATCCTTTTCTGTTTTCATTTTTTTCATGTGTGTATATATATATGCATGTCCGCTGATGCAGCAGTATTATATTTTTACACTCGGCTGCATGTATTTATTGGCCTGTATTGTTCATTTCTTGAGTCTCCTGCTTTGTTGGGGGGTAATTTCATATATGTTATATGTGCAGCAGCAGTATTTCCTACAAGCTCACAGCAGCATGTCTGTGGATGTATTGGCAGTAGCAAGTCTCTGTACTTGCTCTGTCGCAGCAGCATCAGCGTAGCAGATCTATTCCACCAAGACCAAACACATTAACATTGTCATGTACATTACCATGCTAAAATCTCAGAGAGTTGTCATGACAGAACTGCACATTTGTACTTGTGTTAAGTACAACAACAGATAATCCAATCTTGAGGCTTTTTTATGTTTGTATATGCCAACACATTTTTAGATGTCTTCTGCTGATAACTTTGCAGACAAGCTGAACAAACTTCATGAAATTATTTCTGCTCTAGATATTTCATCAGCGACAAACTGGTTGACATGTTTCTTTTTTTAGATGGCTACATTTGAAGATTATTGTGTATTAACCCATGAGGATTTGGAAGATATGAAAGATTGCATATCAACTCAGGATCTCCCATCAGCGATAAACACGATAAAAGAATACCTTAAAAAGCAGGATCTTGTAGAACTTAACATTGGTGTGACGGGAGAGTCTGGTTCTGGAAAGTCCACGTTTGTCAATGCATTCAGGGGTCTAGGAGATGAAGAAGAGGGCTGTGCTAAAACTGGTGTAGTGGAGACCACTACAGAACCAGCAGTTTACCTTCACCCAAAATACAAAAATGTGAAAGTGTGGGATCTTCCTGGCATTGGAACACCAAACTTCAAAGCTGATGAGTACCTTAAAATGGTTCAGTTTGAACGCTATGATTTTTTCATCATCATTGCTTCAGATCGGTTCAGAGAATGCCACACTCAGCTGGCCACAGAGATTATGAAGATGAAGAAAAGATTTTATTTTGTTCGTTCCAAGATTGACTTGAGCATTGAGGCCGAAAAGAGAAAGAAAAACTTTGACCTGAAAAATACACTGGATATCATCAGAAAAGACTGTGAAAATGGTTGGTTCATTCAGCATGAAATTGCAATGCTTTGACAAACACAATTATCGTTACATTTTTGAGGTTGTCATTAACATTATGCTTTATTGTGGATATATATTTGGCCATCTAAAACTGATATTAATATAAATGATTGTAGAATTCATGATAATAGGCATTTTTGTATATGAATAATACAATAATCCTTTGTTAATGATTACATAATTCATAATACCTTTTATATTTTTATAGGTTTGAGAAAGATCGGTATAGAAGATCCTGTCGTGTTCCTGATCTCTGGCTGGGAGCTCGGAAAGTATGATCTAAATGTTCTGCAGGAGAGGATGGAGAAGGAGCTTCCACAGCATAAGAGACGTGTGCTGATGTTGGCTTTGCCGAATATCACACTGGAGATTAATGAGAGAAAGAAGAAAGCTCTAGAGGAAAACATTGGAAAAGTTGCCTTCCTGTCTGCTTGTGTGGCTGCTGTTCCGGTTCCTGGTCTTTCAATTGCTGTGGATTTAGCCATCATAGCAGTTGAGATAGAGAAGTACTGCAACACCTTTGGTCTTGATAAGGCGTCTTTGGAGAAGCTCTGTGAAAAATATGGGAAGAGACTAGAGAATGTCGAGGGTCTGATTAATACAGCTTGGTATCAAGGATTATGCACAGGTTCAATAATAGCCATACTAAGAGAAATATCCTTTCTGATAACAGAAGATGCAGTTGAGTCTGCTGTTAGGTTTATACCCATTTTAGGCTCTGTGGCGGCAGGAGTAATGTCCTATTGCACTGTGTCAACAATGCTGAAGAGTGCTCTGAATGAAGTAGCAGAAGATTCTAGGAAGGTGCTAATCAGTTTGCTGGAGACTGAAGTGTAATCAGACAGATTTACTGTACCAGCTATTTAAAGTGGTCACAAGGTTTATAATACTCTATGCTTAAAAGTTAATTCT